GGAGATGGTTTTACACTCCCACTCCATCAATCTCAAACGGGAAGGCTCAATTTTGTTAGCGAGGGCTGAAGCCTCCTTCTGAATGGTTCGTGTGCCACAAGATCCCCCCCGTCATCTTTACAGCCCAAGAAACTAGGAGGAGCCCCTTCTGAGATGTTTGTCACCCCTCTTTTCTTTCCCTGGGCTCAGCTGCCTCTTCTCTGACTGTTGCCCTGTCTGTCTGTCTTCCTCCGTCTCCCAAGGTCTTTTCCACAGACTCCATTCCATCTGGCCATGAGATTAAATCTTGAATCCATTTGTCTTCCGGACACTTTACTGGATATGGGACTTTTTGCTTTTTTTCCCTTCCAGGTCATCGCTGCGGAGGGCGAAATGAACGCTTCCCGGGCGCTGAAGGAAGCCTCGATAGTCATCTCGGAGTCTCCCGCCGCTCTCCAACTCCGCTATCTGCAGACCCTCACCACTATTGCAGCTGAGAAAAATTCCACCATCATTTTCCCCCTGCCCATAGACATGCTGCAAGGGATTATGGCAATGAGGCACTAACCAAGGCAGCCACGTTGGTAAAGGAGAGGAGAAGCTAGATTAAAAGCAAAAGCCAGCCTTCGGCTAGGAGAGAAATTGCATCCTTTGTAGAGTTCATAAGCATTTTGCATCTGCTGGATCCTCTCTGTTGTCCCTCTGGATAAATATAGACACCCCCCCCCCGTTTTGCTTCTCCCCGTTCTCTTCTTTTAAAGAGATTTCTTTTATATAAATACCGCTATAATTTTTAATCAAAGCTTTTTCAAAAAGGAAGACAAAAACCAATGCAAACTAACATCAAGGAACAGGAAGAAAGGAAAAGAGAAAAAAGAGAAAAATTTTCCCAAGAAGTAACTTCCAATCTTCTTTACAGCATTTACGAGTACAGTTATAAATTTACCTCTTGCTCTAAAGTTGCAAGGTAATTATTTTCTTTCTATAATCTGGCTTGTCTAATCCTCAAAGCCATAAATTACGTTTTTTTCCCCCCTTCATGCAAAAAGTCTGTAGGTAAGGAGTTTAAAGAGAGATTTTTGAGTGCCTTGCATCTCTTTGAAGGGAGAATCAAAAAATTGTTCAGAGTCTGGCTTTTGATTTATTTTTTTAAAAAAACAAAAATATTTTCTTTGTTTTCTCTCATGGGAGACAGCGTCCGTAGCGGCCTTGTTGTCGGAGATTGTAACAACGCACAGATTGTAGTTATGGAGATAATACATGCTTGTTAGCTACGTGTTATGTTCAGGTTACACACAAGTGTCTCCTTGCCTTAGTGATCCATGTAACCCAATGCCTCTGTCTATCTGATTTTGCGATCTACATTTTTTACACATAAAAACAGAGTTGGGGGTTTTTTTAAAATCATTTTTAAAAAAAAGGACGGTAGTTCATTTCCTGGTTTAGATTTTTTTTTCTTTCTTTCCAGAAAAATAAAAAAAAAACCATAAAGAAGGTATCTCATTGCCAGAAATGATGCTGAGTGCCTTTGAATCTTTCGCTGAGCTTAAATGCATTATTTCCTAAAAGCTAAGAGGCTTGACGTTTATTTTAAGACGTCTGTGGTCAGCTGCTTGGCGATATAGCTACCTAAAGGAAGCTTAATTTAACTTTAGGACCTCCCCATAGACCTATCTTCTTCTACCACATTCTCAGCCAGTTTAGAACAATTCATCTGAAAGACCAATAAATCCCAGAGGCTTCCTTTCAAGTTTACTTGCTAAAATCTCAGCTTTTTGCTAATATACCATGTTGATGTTTAAGCCCCCGTATATCCGGTATGTTTGCATTGCGCGTTTTATAAAGTAGATATCTGGTTGGAATCAGAACTATAGGTAATTGTCACTGAATAGCGTTGTGGTTAGCTGTAATTATTGTACTGTATTCCACATTGTGTGTTAAGTTTTAATAACAGGAAAAAGAGGACTGGGGTCCAGTTTTAGAAACATCACAGGCCTGTCCGATGAAAACTTAAAAGGCTTTTTCAGTGGTCTGAACAAATGAGCCTCTGTTGAAATGTTATACCATCTTTCATGTTCTCGGCAATTAAAGTGGGATCGGGCCACTTTAATTTCACGGTCATTTTAATTCAGCTCGCAATGATAGGATCCAAATGAAGGTATTCCCCCCCCCCCAAATAAAACCAAAGAACATTTTCTTTTAGCCCGTTTACCGAAAGTGCTCTTAATACCATGTACAAAAGAAGAAGAAAAAAATTGTCAGTGGAAAAAACGTGTCTGAATTCTAAAGTGTCCTTGTTGATCAGCTGACGTTCCAATAAATTTTTCTTTTATCATGTTCCTGTTTCTGGAGTCCTTGGCAAACCTTTTCTTGAAAAGAAGACATTTCAACAGGCCTTGGCACGCTCTGAGCTTGGCTGTTTCCTTGCAGAGATCCTGAAATTGGGAAGCAAAAGCTTGATGGTGGGTTTAACTCGGCTTGGTGGTCCCTCTCCAGGCGGCAGAAAACATCTGCAGAACATCTGCTAGCCTCACCCATCCCTGTTGTGCCCTAAGCTACAGCAGAGTCCTTTCCTTCTGTGCTTTCCCTGCCTAGAGATTTCCAAACCTTGTTTTAGATTTTATTTCCTTGGTTAGGTCAGGCCAGCCTGGAAAAATAAATGAATCTCAAGGATGTTTTCAAGTAATTGAATAGAGCTGGGTGATATCAGAGCTGCTTTACAGAGGCAAGAAGCACGAGACGCCCACTAGCTTCAGTTTATATTCATTAGCTGTCTGTCTGTCTGTCTGTCTGTCTGTGTCTCTCTCTCTCTCTCTCTCTCTCTGTGTGTGTGTGTGTGTTGTGAGAAGCTCTGTTATCTTGTTGGTCTGCCTGTGGAAGAGTTCTCTCTTGCCCAAAATGTGCAAGCCTTTGGGGTACACTCTGTTCTACAGATCTGCAGGAGGGAGGGGGGAAGGAAGGAAGGAAGGAAGGAAGGAGATGAGAAAGGGAGGGAAGGAGGGAGGAAAGAAGGAAGGAAGGAAGATGGGAAGAGAGGGAGGAAGGAAGGAAGACGGAAGGAGGGAAGGAAGGAAGGAGGGAAGGAAGGAAGGAAGGTGATGGGAAGAGAGAGGGAGGATGGAAGGAAGACAGGAGGAAGGGAAGGAAGAAAGGAGATGGGAAGAGAGGGAGAATGGAAGGAAGGAAGGAAGGAAGGAAAAAAGGAAGGAGGGAGGGAGGGAGGGAGGGAGGGAAGGAAGGAAGATGGGAAGAGAGAGGGAGGGGGGAGGGATTACATCGACGCTACTCGCAGCCCTGAAGCTGCCAAAGAAGCCCAAGCGAGCCATGCCCGAGGTGCCTGGGAGGGTCGTCTGGATGCCCTCAGAGGCTTGGCCGAGAGAGCGGAGCGCCACAGAGGTTGGAATCCGCGCCGCGCGAGCGATGGAGCCGCCGCCGCCAACGGCCGGGGTCCCGCGCGGGGGCCTCGTTTCGGTTGCTGCCCGCCCCGTCCGCCAAGCTGGGAAACAGCGCCGTGGGGCTGATGGGCGACATGGAAAGGGGCACCCGGAGGAATCCAGACGGTCTGAAATTGGACGGTGAGACCCCCCGACCCGCCTCGGGGCTTGGTTGTGCCCCCGCTGCCCTTTCCTAGCTGCCTCGATTTCCAAACGACAGCTTCGGATTGGCGCGGCGAGCTCCTGAGCCAGTGCAGAGCGCCAATTCTTTAGGGGGAATGAGGAGTGAACTTAAGTCTCCCTGGCAGGCAAGCTCAGCTTGGCCGATTCCATTGGGACCCGGGGTACTACTGCTGAGCAGACCCTCTGAGCATGCACAGAGGGCATCTGGAAATATAAAAATGCATCCGCCTTCTTGGCCATCACTTATGACTTTATTTCCACCATTCCTACACCGGCACAACGATACTTCTTTAGCTGGTTCTTACATCAAACCGTAGGAATAATCCACCAGGCGTATTTGTTTGGTTATGTACTGTTGACTTAATCAAACTATTTTGTTTGGCAGATTATGTGCCACCAAGTCTGATTAGTTGGTTATGTGCCCATCGGTTTTGATTGATTGATTTTGTACTGCTGAGTCAATCAGCCAATTTTGATTAACAATGTGTCATTACATCAATCAAACCATTTGATCGATGCTTTGTGTGCTATGAAATCAATCCTATGAGTTTGATTGATCATAAGCTATCAGATCAAACTCATTTGATTGATTGTTTAGGGGCTATCAAGTCAATCCTATGAGTTTGATTATGTGCTATCAAATTAGTCAAACCATTTAATTGAAGCTTTGTGTGCTATGCAACCAATCACCTGCGTTTGATTGATAACATCCTATTAAATCAATCTGATTGATTGCTTATGGGCTATCAGATCAGTTCTATGAGTTTGATTGTTTATGGGCTATCAAATCAATCCTTGATTGATTGTGTGCTATCAAATCAAACAATTTTGATCGATTGATTAGCTGCCATCGAGTTGAACAATTTTGGTCGATTAGGCTCAAGGGAGGTAATAATAATAATAATAATAAAGTTGGAAGGGACCTTGGAGTCATCTAGTCCAACCCCCTGCTCGGGCAGGAAACCCTATACCATTTCAGACAAATGACTGTCCAATCTCTTCTTAAAAACTTCCAGTGTTGGAGCATTCACCGCTTCTGGAGGCAAGTTGTTCCACTGGTTAGTTGTTCTAATTGTTTCTCCTTAATTCCAGGTTGATTCTCTCCTTGATGAGTTTCCATCTGTTGCTTCTTGTCCTGCCTTCCTTGACTCCCTCTTCTTTGTGGCAGCCCCTGAGATACTGGAACACTGCTATCATGTCCCCCCTCGTCCTTCTCTTCATTAAACTAGACATACCCAATTCCAGCAACCGTTCTTCATATGTTTTAGCCTCCAGTCCCCTAATCATCTTTGTTGCTCTTCTCTGTACTCTTTCTAGAGTTTCAAGTTCTTTTTTTACATCGTGGTGATCCTGGAAAGCTGGTGACCCCATGGATAGATTATTTCCAGGGTTTTCCACCGGTGTCCCCCTCCACCCCTGTAACTGAGATAACAGCGCTGCTGCAATCCCAATTTTATGCCTCTGTTATCACCCTCTGGAAATAGGTGGAGGTTGCGATTCTATATTTAAAAAACAGGACTGGCATGCACAAGAAGTCATAGCCAACAAAGCCAGGAAACACGTCTCAACTGCACAATTTGAGGAGGGGATATTTTCAATCAGGGCGTTTCCTGCAGTTGCAGATAAACACTAGAGAGGCTAGGAAAAAACACAACCACAATCAGGTTGCTGGGTTTAGCGTGTTGCACAAACGTAGCCGTGGCTAAGGCTATGTTAGCATTTCACAAGTGCTCGGTGGATTGTGGCTTTTTCCGTGAAACAAGATGAAGCAATGCTTGGCAGGGGGGGGCCCCAGAAACTTTGAAAGCTTGCCAGAAATTTGTAGGCAGGAAATGAATAGTTTATTTGGGACAGCAAAGGTGAAGAACCGGTTTGGTGCAGTGGTTTTCAGACCCTGGGCTAGAAAACCAGGAGAACGAGAGTTCGAGTCTTGCCTGAAACACCAAGGCAGCCTGGTGACCTTGGGCCAGCCACTTTCTCTCGGCCCTAGGAAGCAGGCAACGGCAAACCACGTCGGAGAGCTTGCCAAGTCAACTGCAAGGGCTTGCCTGCAGGAGACAAGGATGACTCAAAAGCACAAAAAAAGAGAATAAAACATGGACACCTCCATTGCATTGGCAGCCTTAAGGCTAAAAGGACATTTAGGTCACAATTCTTTATTTTTCTTTTTAATAATAACGTGAGGGACATGTCATTCTGCCTACCAACTCTTCTCCTTCTCTTTCAGCTTCCGAGCTAATTCAGGACAGGAAATTCGGCCTCGTGGTTTAAAGAGGTGAAACAGTATTTTATGTTTCCAGTGGAGTGGAATTTTCTTTCGAACCGGCCCCGCCGGGTTCAGAGCAAGCACCTCATTCCTTAGTTTGGTTGAATCTCATCTGAGGCTGCCTTGCGAGGGTCTTTGAGAGGTTATTTTCTTCATCTTCTATTTCTCCTTCGTCCAGCTTCGTGTGGCCGGCCCCGTTTGCTCCTGAGCGGGACTTTGAACGTGGTGGAAAGCCAAGAAGGAGCGCTCAGACCTTGCCGTCAGGGCGAGCATGTAGTTGTTGTTCAAAGCAAAAGACAACAGGGGTGGTGTGCACGGTTTTATGTTCGTTTTTTTTTTTCTTTCAGGGAACTTTGAGGAAAGCTACGGCCCGTGTGAATGGATCCTCATTATCCTAATGTATATTTTTGTAATTTTAACCTTCCCCATAACCATCTGGATGTGCATAGAGGTAATGATAGAGCCTTGGAATTCTAAGATTTGATCAATTTTCCTTCCTTCCTTCCCTCCCTCCCTCCCTAATTCTCTTTCCTTCCTTCCTTCCTTCCTTCCTTCCTTCCTTCCTTCCTTCCTTCTGTCTCTCTCCTTTCTTTCTTTCTTTCTTTCTTTCTTTCTTTCTTTCTTTCTTTCTTTCTTTCTTTCTTTCTTTCTTCTTTCCCTCCCTCTCTCTTTCCTTTTGCTTCCTTCCTTCCTTCCTTTTCTTTCTTTCTTTCTTTCTTTCTTTCTTTCTTTCTTTCTTTCTTTCTTTCTTTCTTCCTTCTTTCCCTCCCTCTCTCTTTCCTTTTGCTTCCTTCCTTCCTTCCTTTTCTTTCTTTCTTTCTTTCTTTCTTTCTTTCTTTCTTTCTTTCTTTCTTTCTTCTTTCCTTCCTTCCTTCTCTCTCTCCCCTTCCTTTCTTCCTCCCTTGCCTCCCTCCCTTCCCTCCTTTCTTTCTTTTTTCTTTCTTTTTCTTTCCTTCCTTCTCTCTCTCCTTCCTTCCTTCCTTCCCTCCCTCCCTCCCTTCCCTCCTTTCTTTCTTTCTTTCTTTCTTTCTTTCTTTCTTTCTTTCTTTCTTTCTTTCTTTCTTTCTTTCTTTCTTTCTTTCTTTCTTTCCTTTCTTCTTTTTCTTTCTCTCTCTCATTCCTTCCTTCCTTCCTTCTCTCTCTCTCTTCTCCCTCCCTCCTTCCCTCCCTCGATGAAACTTACAACTTACTCTGCCATACCATACACAGCAGGCAGGGTCGAACATTATAAAAGCTGCACTGACAGGGCCAGAAGAGCGAACACATCAAGCAGAGGGTGAAACTGTGTCTATCTTTCCATTGTAGGTTGTTATGCAATATGAACGAGTGGTCATTTTTAGGCTGGGCCATATACGAAAAGGAGGGTCCAAAGGTCCTGGTAAGATACTTCTTCTCCTCCTCCCTTGTTGCTCACTTTCCCTGTCTTGTTCTTCAAACTTCTCTAAAGATCCCAATTTTTGTTCTCCCGCAGGAGTCTATTTTATTTTGCCTCTCCTAGATTATGCGGTCAAAGTGGATATGCGGACGATCTCGTTCGATATATCTCCCCAGGAAGTAAGTACTCGACGGGCAATCCCCAACTTACGACCACAACAGCCCAACATTTCTCTTGCTAAGCGAGACATTTGTCAAGTGGGTTGGCCCCCATTTTACCTTGCCACTGTCGTTAAGCGAAGCAACGCAGCCGTTAAGTTAGTCACACGGCGGTTAAGTGAATCGCAAAAGGGGATATCACGTGACTCCGTGTGACCGTCATCAATGTGACTCAGTTGCCAAGCTTCTGAATTTCGATCACGTGACCCCGGGGATGTGCAACCATCATAAATAGGAACCAAGAGGCCAAGGGTCCCGATTTGGGTCAGGTGGGGATGCTGCAAATGGTCGCAAGTGTGAAAACCAGTCATAAATCTTTTTTTTTCACTGCCGTTGTAACTTTGGTCACTAAATGAGTTGTAAGTCGAGGATTACCTGTACTTCTTTTTAAGTGCAATTTTCACAGATTTATGGAAGGCTAGGTTCCTGCTGGTAAAGAAGCATGGACCCTGGTTTTGGGTGCCGATATGCGTTTGCTTTTCACTCGTTTTCCATCGCTCTCCTCTTCTAGATTCTTACCAAAGATTCAGTGACGATCATGGTGGACGGCGTCGTTTATTACCGGGTTTGGAATGCTATTCTTTCCGTCGCCAACGTGCTTTACACGGACCCGGCCACTCGGCTCCTGGCTCAAACCACCTTGAGGAACATCTTGGGAACCAAAGACCTGGCTCAGATTCTCTCCGACCGAGAGGAGATCGCCCAGAGCATGCAGGTTTGAGAAAGGCCCAGCTACCCGTGGCATCTTTGGGGGAGATTCAGAACAAAACTAGAGTAGAGTAGAGTAGGGTAGGGTAGGGTAGGGTAAAGTAGAGTAGAGTAGAGTAGAGTAGAGTATAATAGAATAGAGTAGAGTAGAGTAGAGTAGAGTAGAGTAGAGTAGAGTAGAGTAGAATAGAATAGAATAGAATAGAAAGAGTAGAGTAGAGTAGAGTAGAGTAGAGTAGAGTAGAGTAGAATAGAAAGAGTAGAGTAGAGTAGAGTAGAGTAGAATAGAATAGAATAGAATAGAAAGAATAGAGTAGAGTAGAGTAGAGTAGAGTAGAGTAGAGTAGAGTAGAGTAGAGTAGAGTAGAGTAGAATAGAATAGAATAGAATAGAATAGAATAGAATAGAATAGAATAGAATAGAATAGAATAGAATAGAATAGAACCGAACCTTGGAGATCTTCTAGTCCAACCCACTGCTCAGACAGGAAACCCTATAACGTTTCAGACAAATGGTTGTCCAATCTCTTCTTAAAAACATCCAGTCACGGAGCACCCACAACTTCTGGAGGCAGGTTGTTCCACTGATTAATTGTCCTCACTGTTAGGAAGTTTCTCCTGAATTCCAGGTTGAATCTCTCCTTGATTGGTTTCCATCCGTTGCTTCTTGTCCTGACTTCAGGTACTTTGGAGAATAGGTTGGCCCCCTCTTCTTTGGGGCAGCCCCTGAGATATTGGAACATTGCTAGCGTGTCATCCCAAGTCCTTCTCTTCATTAAACTAGACACACCCAATTCCAGCAAGGTCAAATTGTGGCGTGGTATCCAAAAATAATAAAGTTCCCTTCCAGTTGAGTTCATTCTTTGTGATTTCCTGGACATGTCTATGAAAATCTGTAGCTCAGGTGATGGATGAGGGTGGAGGGTTCGTTCTCCGAGCTTGTGAGCTGGTTTGGGTACCAGGCCACATCATCGTGCCCACGGGAAAAAAAATGACAATAAAGGTTATCCGATCTGATCTGATCTGATCTGATCTAATCTAATAAGCAGAAGAACACTAACACGGACCGAGGGAGGGAGCCAGGATTTTGCAAACCAATCCTTTGACTTACTTGCTTAGACAGGTGTGTTGCATCAACGCAACAACTGCAAGTCTCAGCCTGCGGGGAACAAACCGTGCAAAATGTTTTCCCTGATGCCACGCATGTCACCACCGGCAAGGGAAGCTATGCTCACAACGTGTAACGCCAATCCCCAGTTAACAAATCCTCTGAAAGTTCTGGCTGGTTGTTTTGGGGTTTTTTTTGTAAAAAATTACTTATGGTCCTTCTCAATCAATGACTCTCAGCGACTGGCTAATTCCCAAATTGCAGGGGGGGCTCTGACAAAAGACCACAGCTGAGCCCAAAATTGATGTTGTTAATCAAGAAGGTTGCTCAATGAGCTTTACCTCCATTTTACGACTTGTAATGGTCGTAAGTGTGTGAAAAACAAAGAGAACTTCCTTCCCTCCCTCCCTCC